CCTTTTTTCTTTTTCTTTTTTTTTTTTTTTTAATTTTCCTGGATGTTAATAATTCGATTTTAAATTCATTACTATTTCATGAATATACAAGCCACCACTGGTCTTACCAAATCTTTGCTTTGCATATATATGCATATTATAATAAGGAATTTCATATTCAAATGATGATTATTAGGAGAAACACTATTCTGTGAATATTATTTTTTGAAAATTATTAAACTCTTCCTGGGAAAATTAATTAGATCAAATACAAACCATTAAAATCAAAGATATTTTTATCATCAATCTCACTGAAATTACATCCAAATCTCTAGGAATTGATCCAAATACAACGAAGTCAATAAAAATCTTTCAACTGACTTTCCATTAGGCATTAAGCCCAAGACATGTGAAGTACTCAAAAGAGAATAACAAATGCATTTATCTTAAAACATTTTAATTGTTTCCCTGGTACACTCAAACACAGAACTCTGATCTTGACTTGAGTTTTACTATTTCTATTCACTTGAGGGAAGGTAATTGTATTTACATAAATTAAAATTATCCATATTTTATGTATGCGTACAATAAAATCTAAGAGAGTCAGGTATTAAAAGCCTGGTGTAGCAAAACACTGCATATGTATAACTAAGAGACAGAGGGAGGGGAGCAGCAAATAAGAGCTGTTTTAAGCTTGCCAAAAGTTTCAAAAAATTTCAAATAAAAAATGCCATTTCCACAATATGTATTTTAATATATATATAGTATGTAAATATTTCAGACACAGAGCACCAACTGAATTTATTCATGATTCAAAACTCTGCTTCCTGTAAGATATACAGTCTTTCCTCTCCTGTGATTGTTCACCTCAGTCATTAATTGTAACTCTGAAGGCTGTACAAATACATTTTGAAAATCTAAGGATGATGCTGATTAATTTATCATGCCAATAATGTTGCATCTTCACAATATTTCAGGTTAATTGTGTTATAGCTTGCATATATTAGTGCTATCTGTCCTTAACCATACCATACTTTTTCAGGTAATATGTTAGCATGTCTTTTGAAGTAGTTTCCCATGCTTTTCCATCACAGTATTAATCCTATTGGTTAACAAATGACACAAACAAGGAAGACACAGAAACTACTGATTCTTTTCCTCAGGCATACAAAATGTTATAAAGTCTTTCATTTCAACAATGAAAGATGAAAACATAGCATAATTTATACACTTTTTAAAATAGTTGAAGTCTACTGATAAAAATCTATCCTTGTTTTCACTAGCAAAGCTAATACCTCTTGTGTCCCACAGGAAAATGCCAGCTTCCTAGCTACCAGCATTGCCAGAAAGCAATTTAACAGGATTTCTTCACCCTTCAAGACAATATCTTTGTCTAACTTCACTTTTTGCCTCACCATAGAAAAGTTAGAAATTCAAGGTAGCAACAACACATAGACAGGGTAGACAGGGACATATGTATTTTTGTATACTTTTCTGTCTCATGATTTTGGAGAACAGGGTGGGAAGAGAAAAAGAGTAGAGGTAGGAACAGCAATCTCTGACAGAATGAGCTAAGGGCTTTAGAAGTCAATGAAAAAGCTGAGGACAGGAGTGCACATAGTGATTAATCAAACATTGCATGAATAAGCTGCTGCCTTTTTCTGTGTGGCATGGAGATGGATGTGGACCATGTCATGAAAAGGGGGAAAAAATGAAACTTACAGTAATTATCAGCTCTTTGTGTTCTTTATTTATCCATCTACAGGAGAGGAAGCAATGATATCTATTTCCTCTTGAACTAGATCTCCCAGCAGAGACTGCACAAGAGACCACTTCCATAAGAGAAGCCAAGTGATTGCTGTGAAAACTAATTGCTGCATCTCTGGATGACTAAACATTTTAAAACCCCTTTCTTAAAGCACTGTGATGCATATGTATCATACACACAAGCAATCCTTTATATCTACGCTGCTACAGTACAGGTGGAATATCGTGGAATTTAAAATACTTGCACTGGAACTGTTAAGCATCTGGTAGCAATGCAGATTCCACACTTTTTTAAATGTTTTTCCTATTAACAATGGTTATTTGGGGAGGTTAAATGATTACTTTAAATAAACGTGTTCCTAACCTTACACTAAAGCTGTGATTCGGATGATCAAGTAGCAATTTTCAAAATCAGAATTTGTTATGAGCTTGATTTCATTATTAGGTTTACATCGTCTTTAAGTAAACAGTATAAATAAAGAGGGCAAGCACGCACTGAAGTACCATAATCTAACTCATAATTTCCTCTTCCATTTCTAGAATGAAGAAGGTTAAGAGCAAGCTACCTCATAGCTCTCTTAAGCACCCTCCCCAGCACGCTAGTGAGGACTATAATCTAAACTTTTTTAACTCAAAGCAATAGTTTCAATTCTTTTTTGCTACCTGAATGGCATTAAAATGCTGAAAATGCATTTTAAACCGATCCTTACACATCTCTCCCAAATTTTGTCACTGGGAAGGATGTAAGTGATTAATGACCTCCTGGGTACAGTGGAAACACAGCAACAGAAGAACTGGTTTCTATCATACTGTAAGACTGAATCACAGCATAATTAAATCACAACTCTATCTTGTTGTAATGTTATGATCATTATAACACTGGTAAGTTATCCATGCACAGAGCATCTCAGTGTACACAGGTACTTATTACTCATGCATATTCATTGCACAAACAGGTGAGTGGGTACATGCAAAATAACATGCAGAATTGCACATTACACATTCCCTACTTCCACTGTTCATAGCTTTTGCATGTTTCTGGGTATTTAGTAAGGCATTCCTAGTGGCATCTCAACACAAGAAGGAAGTTTTGAATGACAAAACCTTCCAGCTACTTTTATTACAGCAGGTTTAACACGGTAGCTGCCAATATGGAAAAACTTAAATCCAATAAACAATTTTTGAAATAAAATGTATACGTAGACCTTTCCATTTCTATGTTCTTCTTCATTTTTATAACTGTGATGTTTCACAACACCTTGCTGAGCTAAAATAGATCTCAGGTAAAATTCTCAGAAGTATCTATAGTTCCACTGACTTTAATAAGATTTGGTATCACAAGTGCTTTTGAAAATACTGCCTTTCAACTTTCTTTTGAATACTATCCTTATTTGAAATAAACTCTGGGAAATTATATCCCAGTAGTTTTCCAAGCTTTATCTATCATTGACAACCCTTAAAAAAATCCTTGCCAAATGTCTTAGGATTTCAGGTCAATCCCTTAGTGTCTCCACTCTAGAGACAGACTACATTGAAGCTGCTCTCAGAAGGTCCAACCTTGTTTCAGTGAAACTCTGCACAGTTACTATGGATTTTGCTCTGAAGCAGTTCAGGCTTCAGGGAGGATACTAAAGTCTCTTGCAAAGACAGCAGGGGGAGGCCAATATCACTTCACAGAGCACGATGATAAAAGGCTTTTTGCTGCTTCACAGAAATTTCAAAAGACCAGTAAAATATAATTTATCATTTCCCACATTTCTATTAAGCTGGTAGTGTTTCTGACCATAAAAAACTCTCAATTATTCTTTTATTTTTACCATCTGTTGTTACAGCATAGGTATAAGAGAGTTATTTGGAAAAAAAAATTTAAAAGCAAAAACATTTATGAGTAGGCAATAATTTTTGATCTCCAACTCATAATTAATGAATACAATATTTGTTTTAAAATAGAAAAATAATGGCTAGACAGATTGAACAATTATAGTTTTGAGAAACTTCAGGTATAGTAAAATTACAAGAAAAACATTCCTTAATATGCTAATGAACAAGAAAAAACTGTAAGAAGAAAGCAACACTGTCAAACACGGAGGGTGGATCTGGTATGAAATTGCAAAGAAATGGGCAATAGTGAAAAGGCACCTGATGCTTTAAAAGCAAATATTTAAATTATATCCAGCAACACAATACTTGCCTTGAAATATGTAGGCTCTCAGTTTTTCTGGCATGTGAGAGAAGCTGCTTTGTTCACATTTTTAAACTAAGATTGCACAATACCGGCCAATTATTTTGTCTGTGCAATTCAACATAAGAGAAGGGTAAAGAAAACCTCTGAATTTTATTTAAGGCCTTCTTTCTTTTACTCTAGCCAGTAAATAATAAAAATTTAAAAAAAACATCTTGGTCTGCAATGCAAGACTGCCTTTGCAGAAATAAGGAGCCTGGGAAGACTGAATACTATAATTCCCTCTAATTTTGAAAATTATCACTGCTGAATGTTTTCTGACGGTAAAAGTGTAATTGGTTTTAGATCAATAAATAATTTCACTCAAAAGGAACTCAACTGTTCCTGAAAGTAGAGACATTCTCAAATAAAAATCAAATGAACACATTAACAAAGTTCAGACTAATCTAAACAACAAAGTTGCATACTGTCCTAGTTACGTTTTTCTCAACTGATCATTTATTTATGGAGTCATAAAACTCCATATGCTTTCAATTTTGATGGCTAGTTATTTGTTTTAAGGCAATTGAAATTATATTTTTAGACTTCCTATCTTGACAGTCTTGCTTTCTGCCTAAGACTTATCACCACAAAAGAACAGTGAAATTGGAAGATAAATTCTAATATTAGAATTTATCTAATAAGCACAGTCAAGGGTGATACACTGTAATTCCCTCAGCAGATTCCAGATTAAATCTCTGAGGATTAACATACCTTCTTCCTCTGACACTGCTAAATCCTGTTCTATGTAATTAGATTGCAGTAAACTGCTCCATCTCTACAGGTATCCCAGTATGATTTTTAATTGAAAAGCCATGTAAAGTAGCATTGTATCAAATAAAAGGCAGTTTGAGTGCTTCTGAGACTCTGTACAGAATCATATGCTATAAGCCATTATCATTAATTCACTATTGACCCCAAAAGGTTCATTTACAAACCACCATATTTGCATTAAAATAAAATAAATTTAAAACTCACAAATACAAAACAATCGAGACAAGAAGAAATCTCATGCATTTGTCATAATACTTACGATATGCAGCTCTAGATAATCTCCCAGCCCAGTAGAACTGTCCACTCGTACTAAAACGGCCTCTTTTTGAACAGTACTAAACCCTATTGCCAGTCTGTCCGCACGAGTGCTGGGCCGATCGTTAGGGGGCCACGTGTAAGTGATTTGTCCACCACCTTTGCTAAAGATATATGTTGTTCCCGCTGAAAAAAAAAAAGAAATAAATATAATTAGCTCACTTGCACCCACGCGAACCCACGTGGAAATCATGTACTACGAGGATGTTCTCGCATAGCAAATGGAATTACAGAAATGAACAGGATTGTATTTCAAGATGAAGAGGCCTTTATCTCTGAAAATTTTGCAGCAAGCGAAATATTAGTGGTTTTTTTATATAGTGCAATCAACACAGAATATAACTTAATTGCAACTGAAAAGACCTAAAATACCATAGCTCTGATTCAGAAATGCATATCTATACAAGAGAGTTCTTAAGCATATGCTTGATGAACATGTTTCTGTGATGTGTAGAACGTGGATGAGCTGAAGCAAATGCTTTCCCAAACTGGGCCTAGGTAGAGAAATCAAGTAATTCTAGTTACCTCATGACTGACAAAAAAATGCAGATACTTATTTACACAATGAAAATGACACATTATTGTGCCCAGTGAAGCAAGATTTTAGCAAATACATTCAGATAAGACTTTTACAGATCTAAGGTTTATCACCTTGTGACAGAAGGAGATAACAAATGGAAACATACTTGTCGTGTCAGGACAAAAAGAGATCAGTCTACCATTTGAGTAAGCAATGGCTTATTCACATAATACTCAATGTATACCTTTTAAAAGTGGAAATCTTTACACGTTACATCCAGGGTGCACTTACAAAATCTATAACCTGTTTTAAACAAGTGTTTAAACCACTTAGCACTCAGGTGCTTAACTTCATATTTCCTCTGAACTAAAATAGCAGCATATCCAGATATTTTCCATTTAAAGTTGTATCTTAACAACATCATATAGCAGGCAAATTGTGCATACACTTGATCTTTCACTTAAAAAGTCACTACAAGCTGTCCACTTCTTTTCTATGAAGGTAGATCGAAGCTTAGGGAGATAGATCAACACATTATAAATACAGGTGTCTAATTTTATTCTCTGTCCTACACTGTCTCAGTGTGGTTACTTGCAATTTTATTACATTTTACCTATTTTTTTTTAAATTTTATCTATTTTATTAAACAGATAGTGATAGGACAAGTGGGAACGTTTTTAAACTAAAAGATATTTAGAATAGTTACCAGGAACAAATTCTTTTCTCTGAGGGTAGTGAGACACTGGAAGAGGTTGTCCAGAACAGTTGTGAATTCCACATCTCTGGAAGGCCAGGTTGGATGGAGCTTTGAGCAACCTGATCTAGTGGGTGACATCCCTGCCCATGGAAAGGATTTGGAACTAGATAATCTTTAATGTCCCTTCCAACTGAAACCATTCTATGATACTATGAAATGTAATTCAGTTTATTCCACTCAATGCTCTCACTACACACTTCCCATGCCCATGTGAGGAGATAGTGAATAACAACATAACTGTAATTTTCTGACTTTCATTTAAGATTGACCCAAAATGCTGTGAACACATAAAGGGATCTAAAATTCCTTTAATGTGTGGACTTTTAAAGCCAAAGCCAAGAAGGACTTTATAGTGTACACTACTTTTGAGATGTTTCAAAATCTTATTTTACTGCACAGCAAGACTGTTTTTTGTCAGTCTCAAAGCAAAAAGGACACCTGGCCTTTTTGAAATGATACCCTATATGTATTTCTAACATGGAAGTTTATGGAATTAAGTACCTACTCATCAGTTTTCTCCAGTGTCATCAGTTTGTAATACTTTTGCACTGTGCATAGCACCTAAAATACCGTAAAACTCATTTTATATCCACACACTTGTGTGATTGCACTGTGCTTGAAATAGATCTCTTGGCTTCTCCCTTGATGCCAAAATACCAACCTGCATGTATTTTATGAAAATTTGTCAATATTCTTCAGCAAAGACAAACACAATAACTGGTCTGATTTCTAAGTTTTCACTTTCACTCTAAGTGAAACCAGGTTTATCATTATTATAAAGGCTTCTTTACGAGTAGTGAAGATTAGGGCTGTGCCAGGATTGTAATGGACATGGGCAAATGGTTTCTAGTTTAGGAATGTGTATGACAAACACCTCATCTTCCTGCTCTCCCACCCTTGCTCTCCTCCTGTGCGGTGCCCTGAAATGCACAATAACCTGTCGTGTGCCATTCAGTAATGACAGTTGAATCTCCAGTTACAATGCATCCCCAAAAGAAGACACATGAGACAGGTAATGTCACTGTTGATGGTCCCCAACTTCTTTGCTCCTACTTTTGACTTCAAATCTTGAGCTGAGGAGTTTGGACCTTCATATAGTATATGCCACAGTAGTGTCTGCAGCAAAAAGATTTGTTCTGTGTTGATGAAAAAGTGAGGGTTTGATGCAAAGCTCATTAAAAACCCTGACAGCCTTTCTGTTGACTTCATAAAACATTGTGTCAGGTCATGAATGAGGTTCTCACAAGTAACAAAAATGAGAAGGCTAGGAAAAAACCAACTCCTTACACCTCAATGTCACAGATGAAGCTGTTAGAATAGTACATAAGATTTAAGTGGCAGTGCATAATTCTCCTTTTCTTGGTTGTAACAGATGTGTTTACCCAATTAAGAAGACAAAGAAAAAGCCTGCCAAGCGATGGTGGAATCATACTGAATACAATGACCCAGAAGTAAGTCTTCAGATCTGAACAATGAGAGACTCTGCTGTTCTTACTCAAGAGTGACTCTGTCACATTTTTTTGCTAAACACTGCCCTTCAAACAAACCAGCGAAGAGTAATTCATTTCATACTGCTGCCACATTGAAGCCAAGGTCAATGTCAGTAGAACTGGATAAATCTAGCTGTAAATCTTAAACCACAAAGAATAAACACCAAAGTTAAAAAACTTATCTTTTATCCATGATAATATGTGGCTTGCTGTTTTTTTTTTTGTTTTTTTTTTTTTTTTTTTTTTTTTTTTTTTTTTTTTTTTTTTTTTTTTTTTTTTTTTTTTAATGACAAAGCTTTCCCTCCTTTATAACTGTCCATTTTGTAGCTCTTCAAACTAACTGAGTGTCTGGTAAAAGACTAATTAATCCATGCTGATGAATACAGATCTGCCTCTGTCTGAGCTACACAGGGAGTCACGTTCTTCAAATTTCCTGTATTAATTATGAAAAAAAATGGGTCAGAAGCCATTTGAGAATAGATCCTCTAGTGTTTATATTTCAAGAAAGACAAATATAATAATGTAAAATTTATTACTCTGGGATTGATCTCAGCTTATAGTCCGACCTCCCATTAACTATTTAAAGCTAGAAAGCGAGCAGTTGTTGGAAACAACCCTGTTTACTCTCAGGTTTGGATATGTTAAGAAACAACAGAGGAAGCCTAATTCACTTGCTTCATAAAGGCTTTTATGCTCTCTGACAAACCTTATAATGTCTCTGCCGTTCTTTCAGAACACTGTCACGAAAAGCCAGTCATCTTCCTTTTTTCTCTTGGCTTGTGGCACTGTGTTGTTTAGGGTTTATCATCTCCAGAGAATTGAAAGCAGTGGAATTATAATGTCAAGAATAGCAATGCCATCAGCACAGCGCTTGTAAGTAGGCAACTTTGTAACATGCCAGTTATATCTCTCAGCCACAGAATTTACTGCATAATTCTTTATGCGTCCATGCATCTACACAATGTTTAGGGAAAATGTCCATACGGCTCTTTGAAATTCTTACCCGTGAAAGCATGGTTCCCATTGTAACAAACTGCCAGTGGTCAAGACACAGTAATGTTTTTTAATGGCCTGGGTCTCTCAAGTCCTACTTGTTTGCAAAATTCATCTTTATGAAATAGTGCATTCATTTGAGCATGGTCTGGCAGCAACTCAAGGACATCTGCTTACCTATACAGTATTAAGCAGATAAATATTTTGTTTAGTACCCATTTACTGTATCTATTACTGTTTATGACTGCAAAGCTTTTCAATATTTATTGCTCTGAAGTCCCATTTGATGTAGTTTAACAGTTTGCTCAAATCAACCACAAATCAACAGCTTTCTACCTTCCTCATGTTCATTCCAATTTTGAGTTAAGGTATATTGCACTGAAGAGTAATGTACATAATTCCATTTTCCCCATATAATGTTAGTAACTTAATGTTTATTTTCAACATTCAGATCAGGTTTCAGATGCTGATTAAGTGGATGCAATGGTTTGATTGAGCTCTGGTCCCCAGTAAACTACGATTCCATCACACTCTGTGACTGAAAAACTGAGGACTGAAGCCTTTAAAGTTCAGTAATGAAAACTATTAGCTGCACTTCCATTATTAGTAATTTTAACTATTATAAGAAATATGAAGGGTAAGCATTTCTAGTTATAACAAGAAATTACCCAATAATGTAATTTTCTTCCTTCTATATCTTATCAGTACTTTATTCTGTGCTACAGTGTGAACTTGCATATTCCCACCAGTAAGTAATTACTTGCATTGATAAACCTGTTGAATCCAGTGAGACTATTTGTGCAGGCTACTATTAATTACCAAGACTGAAGAATTTACTATATGAAAAAAAAGAAAAAAAATATACATAATTTTCCAAACATCTATATGAAGGCATTGATCACATTTACTATGTTCATAAGAGCATATAAATCTCCATTAATACTTCTTTTTACGTATCCATCTATGTATTCTCATTCTGCTGAAGCTGAAATTCAGAAAAGTACACAAAAAGAAGATTTGTGCAGATTTCCTATGGTAAGTAAAGAAAGGAATGCTTCAAGACAGAAACATGATCTCCCAGGGGGAGAGAAAGGGGTTTCAAGACAATCCATTTGGTGGAATAAAATACAACTCTTCTATATTTTTATTTCTTAGACCATGCTATTAATTATTTACACAGAACAGAGAATATATGCCACAGGGTTGAGGTGAGGAGGGAATGGCCATTAGGGTTAACCATGGGAAGGAGATGGAAAGAGCTGCTGGAAGAAGTATTTCAAACTAAAGACCGGATTCAACTGAATGCTTCCTGAAGGCATTCTGGTACACTCTCTCCCACAAGTCTGGGCAGGAGATGGAATATGGA